TTTTGTATCTGTTAATTACCATGAAATACATGTAGATTCCCCGAGGACAGAACCCTATAGAAAATATATCTGCTACATGTATATGCCCAAAATAAAAAAAAAACATCTGATGAACTTTTATTTTTTATTACTTTCTATAGAATACTTGGTATTTTTTTTTATAGCGAGCGCAGCGAGCGTCGCGAAGCGACGCTCGTCACTGCGAGCTCTTAAAGCAACGCCTGTGCGAAGAGAAAATTCGGACTTCTGCACATTCATTCGATAGAATTTTTTGATGCCGTAATTTGGACCCAAAATGCATCACTTGTTTAAGCCACGTTAAAGCTACGTTCTCGTGAGAATAGTAGCAAAAGTTCTACTAAAAGTATACATGCCCTGATTTAAAGGATAAATATTGAAGATAAATAGCAAACGAAACGTTCTTCATTTGTTTTCATCTCTGTTCAGGGTTCTTTGGGGGAAATGTAACTTACATACGACGTCATGTGACGTCAGGGTCTAGACGCATCAAATGTCACGTGCAGTTTGATGTACGAGCCCGATTTAAATTCTAACAAAATAAACATCTGCGCTCGCCATAACGGTCGCACCGTCAACATATTAGTTGATAATGTAGGTTGTCCTCCCTCATCCACACTGAAATTGCTTCCTATGGGCCTGTTACATGTATTTGTTTATTCAAGGTAAATTGTTATTTTTTACATTCAAGTATCTGAAAATAAGTTTTCCCTCTTTCATAGTGCAATAATACTCCACAACAACTCCCTAGGTGAAGAAAAAATGATCATACATGACTTTCTTCTTTTAATATTGACATACCTGTCACTTTTTACCCAATAATACAAAAGAGTTCCAAGAAGGGGAGGTAACAATCTAACTCCAGCAAATTGGTAACAATGGGGTAAAATAAGCAAAAGAAAGTTATATGAAGAGTCCAAATCAGTTATTCCTCTTCTAAAAATTATATTAGAATAAAAATCTCCTCTTTTTCTTTAAATATCATAGAAATAATCCAAAAAAATGGTAAAAGACTGTTATTTAAAATATGTGAAATTGTGGCAAAATATGGTATTTCAAAGTTAATTTACAGCATGTAGATGTTATTTCCCAAGCTCAATATTTTAATACAGAGTAGACCTTAGATCATTCTTAAAGTAACAATTAATTTGATTTAATTTCAACCTTGGTCTTGATAGAAACGAGCGTCTAAAAATGGCTAAAGAATCATACCCATTTACTTAGGATCTATAAATAGATGTGTAAAAAATAAAATATTTATTTGATTTAAGTTTTTCCTCATTAATTGTATTAATTGGACAATGACTTTGACAATAAAACAAAATTTGAAAATAAACTGATGACAAAAGGTAACTTTTTGACTAGATCAATATGTATAGATTTTCCATTAAATTTTGTGTGATTTTCGACAAATATGCAAATGAGCTCTTACTAAAAAAGATGCAGGGTTCGACATTTTTGTATGGATATTCTGACTTCTACCTTAATGTAGAAAATTTTAAGCCACTAAAAACTCCTAAGTTGAACTTTCCATTTGGACCTTTTTTTGAATTTTGCATGGTTTTCTCGCGGACTGGCTCTTAAGAAGTATACCCAGGGTTAACAAAAACACATATATATTATCACGATTGACTACTTAAAGTTTACAAAACGGTCCTTTGAAGATGTATACTCCATTTTGGCAATACCAACTCTGGTTTAAAGATATACCTCTAGTAATATATGTATGACACTTTTTAAAAATGATTAAGATTTGTGCAAATGTAAAGATTTTTATTATTAATGTTTTATAAATGATTTATGTAACACCTGGATGTGTCATTACTGATTGTTATATTTGAATGTGAAAACAAGCGTGCAAAATGACCTTCGTTCAGCAACTCTACATAACATGCCTACTGACCCAAAAAAGATTTCACCTAAGTCGGATGAGTAGTTTACAAGATCACCCGAGGACAAAATTTTCCCAGGAAGAAGAAAAATAATAATAATGAGAAGAAACAGGGTATAAACAATATGTTCCCCAACTTCGTTTGGGGAACATAATAAATAATTTATTTTCGATACGAAGTCCTAATAGATTTTAAGTACATCGGAAGTGTTCAAGGCAGAGTTCTTTAAATATAATTACACTTTAAACGGAAATACATAGACTGGGATCATTAAAACATTAATACTTTCTTTTCCTTACTCATGCAGAGGTGATCTAATCTAGAGAGAATCGATTTATTGGTTACAAAGAGTCAGTATAATCAGTATTCTCATACCATTTTTTTCTTCATTAAACAAATTTGAAAGAAATTGCTACTTAATTTCATCCGGTATTTTACTTTTTTAAAGATAAAAATATGTTTTGTCTGGAACAGCTGACTGGCATTCAAAATTTTATCCATGGCTTTCAAGTCTTTGAATCATGTGACATTGCCATAATATAAAAAAAAAATATTGCTCTTTTTCTCAGTGAAAATGGGCTCGGTCAATACAATTCTCCTCATGTAGTCAATTTTTTGTGCTGAGAAAAGAAAAAAAAACAATACAGATAAGCTTGTTTCAGTGAAGACACTATTTAAAAAAAAATACGCTTATATCCAAGAAACTTTCATTCCCCATGGGTTTTATACAAACGGTTAAATTAATATATGTAACGAATTTTGTTTAAAAACTAAGAAAAATCACCTTGTACTTCGATTTGCAGTTCTTTTTCCTGTAGATTTATACTGCTAAGATATGTGGCACGTAAAGTTCAATATTAATGAAGAATTTAAGTCTAAATGTCTGTATTCTAATGCTGTATTATTACTATACTGTTTAATTTTGTAGTATTTTCTGTTTTTTTAACTTGAACACTGTTCATTATCCCCATATATTTCAACCTACGATATTACACTATATAATGAATTAAGAATATGTTTCCTGAATGAAAACTATTTTTAAACTTATCATGAGATGATCTTAACCATTAGAGTGTCCAACAAGCACTAGTAATAAAATGGTTTGCTTTGCTACAAATACAAGACGCTGAATACGAGAGATAAAATGAAATGAGTAACAAAATTATGTGTAATTTTTCTTTGCTTTCGTTATGTTTTCTTGAAACGAACAACCGTGGAACACAGTGACATATAATGTTTACAATGCATTATATGACAATGAATTATTTCTAAGAACAAATATTTTTCTGGAGTATATAAATGTCCTAACAACTTTGAAGTTTAGAAGAATCACTCGCTTAAAAAAATCTGCCCAAAGTAGGAAAAAAATGTATAAATAATAAGCTTATACTCGTATAGCGTGTGCATTTTGTTTCTATTATGAGATTTTCTTCCGTTTTTGTCAGAACTATAAAATATAATCCATAGATGAGAAAGTTTATTTTTTATTTCCGAACAAGTCTGTGTCTGTTTCATGTTTCCTCTCTGAATCAGATTTTTATTTACAAAAACATTCTATAACTGTAACTTTATTGCTCTTATTTCCTACCTTTTGGATATTGTGTCTCCAAAGCAGGAAGATATCTCATTTTATTTATGGTTATTTTTTCCCCTATCCGTTAAGGATTTTAGCTAAAATTATAAACATCGATATTACAAAGGTTGTGTCGAACACTCGCGGACGTTTGTTAAAAGGAAGAAAGAGGTGATCGTTGCAAAGAATGAGTTTTAATAAAGTGGTTTTGTACTGAATGAGAGAGACTGAGAGAGAGGGAGGAAGAAGTACGTATACTTAATACTGATTGCAAATGTGGAAGAAATAACAAGTAAATTACATCTTCAAGAGAAACAACGTTTTCTATTAAATCTTAAAATTGACCCAGACTTTCACAAATTCCTGTCGATGTTCTATATATTTTTTAAAATTTTAATACCTTGAATAACTCATTAATCAACCATTGCATATTTAATTTTATTCAACCTGTCTTAGAGTATATGTAATATCTCTCAAAATTCAACAGCCAAATAAACCTTGGAGATGCATCATCATATCTTTTATTTATTTATCTAAGCATTAAAGTATACCATTATTATATTAAAACGTATGAAAATTAAAGTATTTAATAACAAAGGGAATTTTTTCACTGAAAAAAAAAAGGAAAAAATATTTCTCCCCATGTCATTCAAAAAGAAAGTTACATATAACCATATAAACCATTATTTTGATAAACTGATAGCATGCCGTTTTTCTTTAAAATTATTAAGAATTATTTCTAAAGTTAACAAAATCAGATATTTTATCACGATTGACTTAATAAAGTTTACAGATCAATCCTTTGAACATGTATACCCCATTCTTGCATTACAAAACATGGTTTGAAAAAATCCCTATAGTAATATATGTATGAAATTTTTAAGAAAAATGGTTAAGATTTATGCAAATGTTTAGAATTTTTTTTTGTAATAAATAAATCTAACATTTGGGTTCTAGCAGTATATTTTTAGACATAATACGTGTTATTCAACTATTCATTTTACTCAAATGATTTATTAAGCACCGGGATGTGTTATTCACTCTTGTTTTTTTTATTAATGAAGGTGAACATATTGGTATTAATAGCAGTTGCATGGTGACGATGTGGTGGGGCACTTATTTTCATTCCTAGGTTTATACAATAGTATATAAATATTGATAGTTGATAATATTTTACGTTATATCAGCGGCTTAGATGAATGAGCAACGGAAATTTAATTTCTTTAAAAAGTATAAATTTCACTTTTTAAGACCCATGAGATATATTATATCAAAATTAATAGTTTTTGTTTACCAATCGGACAGTTTGGTTCTAGCATTATTTTGTTTAAGCATGTTTGATGTTATTCAACCATATCATTTCCTCAAATGATTAAGTAAAGTAGTATAGTGTTATTCACTCATGTTACCTTTTTTAGTAATGAACATTCGCTATTAATAGCAGTCACGTGACGACGATGTGGCGGTGCACTTCTTTTCCTTATTCCTGGATTATGCAATAGTCAATTATTCTTTACTCTTGATAAGCGGCTTGGATAAATTATCAAACTCATTTTTTTTTAAAGTATAATTGTCCCATTTTAGTACGACAACAAAAATTAAATTAAGCTTTAGATGTTCCAGGATCCTGGGCCCGGAGAATTTCAAGTGATAAAAATATTTGCTGATAATCCCTGAATAGGTAAGAAACCTTATTTTGAATTTTTTTTTTATAAAATTATCTACAAAACGTAAAATGAAGAACATGTTATGAGATTATATCTGATAATTTCAGAATAGAAATAGAAATGGATCATATACCTCGCCTGTCAGAGGTTGTGTATGTAGGACTGTGTCGTAAAGTAGGGAGTCCTACACAACTGAGGATCAGGAGAGAAGTGACAGACACTTTGGAGGTAATGGATAAACCTATAAACACCATGCAGGGAGCAGTTAAGATGATGAGTGGGAGTAGACGTGAGGGATTCAGACTGCTTGGTTCAGATGCTGATTGTATGTTCTGGCCTCTAGACCACAAGGTGATATGTGATCTCTCTCAGATCAGTCTCTATCGTAACCAACAACACACTGTGATCCTGATAGAGTGTGATGATTTACCACCAGGATTTGTAAGACTAAATATGATGAACGCATCAAGTAATAAAAAAATTAGATCCTCCTGTGTAGCGATCGACAACGATGTTTATATATCTAGTACATTATTCCGTGAGAATTTTTTACAGTGCTTACGAGCCCTTAATTTCAGCTCTTCTTCTTTCTCTCATGGACCTTGTTGCACATATCTTGTGGGTAATATAGAAACGGACAGTGCATACTGTTTCCGATCCCATCACTGGCCGGCATTAGCTTTACCATGGGTACAAAGATGTCGTCAACATGGTTGGCCATCCGAGGTAGTAATATCAGATATATTAAGATCAGGATTCCATGTTGTTCCTATCGGCAGCACACCTGACAGCATACAAGAGTGGAGAATGTCATTTTCCATGGCGGAACAAAAACTTGTATATTCAATGAACCACACTCAGTTTTTATGTTATGGTCTGTTTAAAATATTTCTTAAAGAGGTTGTCAATTTAAATGAATGTTCGCCCGTTCTATGTTCATATTTCACAAAAACGGCTGTATTTTGGGTAATCCAGACTAACAAGTCCTTGACTTGGACACCTGAAAACTCATTGCATTGTTTCTGGAGATGCTTCAAATTATTATTATATTGGGTGTTTATTGGAGAATGCTCAAACTTTTTCATTCCCCAGAACAACATGTTCCGATTTAAAGTAACTGGATCTATACAAATATTGTTGTTTGATAAGTTGTTTGAATTGTATTGCAAGGGTATATCAGGTCTATTATTGAGTAAAACGTTAAGACCGTTTCTCAGTCGGGCCATTTTATACAGAGCATTGAGAGTCTGCACTGACGAGAGTAGTATCATTACTAACACTGAACTTGACATAAGTTTATTTAAGGAATTCTGGGGATATAACCAAAGCCTTTCAAGTGTTGTAGAATTTGCAGCTCTCATGAAGAACCTTGAAATAGAGATTAGTAAAGGGTTGGCGCCTATCCAGAAGGCTACAGTACAATGTATGACATCAGAGATATTACGAAACACTGCCATGTTGAAACTGTGTGATGTATATCAACATAAAAATCGTAATAAGATTTACTACAAATCTATCAACGTTTCCGGATTGTTAAGACTATCATGTACATTCGGCTGTACCTCTGACATACTTTATCTTGCTATGTATTTTTACAGGACATCTAGATATGAACAATTACTCAATTGCTTACAGAAAGCACAAAACAGAATGACAAAACCATACATTATATACCGTGATCATGTAAATGTAGATATGTTTACACTTAACACATTGGGGGTGTCTCTAAGTCATAAAATGAGGAATGCTTTAGTAACAGATATTAAGTTATACATTGATTACATATACATTGATGAAATTATTCTAGAGCAGAGGACCAGTAACAAGAATGGTAATAATATATTATTAATACCACCTCTAGTGATGCTACACATGTTGTTTATACTGAATTACTACAGACTGGGTGACACAGTGAGGTCACAACAATCTCTACAGGATCTACAGACCCTGCTGCTCTATGATGACATGATTTATGTACCTTTTCCCCCCAGAGATATATCCTGGCAAATACTGGGAATCTGTCAACAAATCTGTGGGGACTTCGTGGCAGCGCTAGAATCTTATCAATGTTCGTTACAACAACATCCATTTCACAAGATTCAAGAAGCAACGTTGCTTAGAATTAATACAATTTCCCAATAATTGATGTAAAAAAACTTATATGTAGCTGATAGCTGAGTATTTTTGTCTCTACGCTAGTTTTGACAGTCGTATTTATTGTTAGTGGAAGAATCGATTTAATGTTAAGGAAATTATTAATACCCTTATTTTTAAATTATATTTATATTGCTTAAAACTTTCTTTGTTCAATTATTTCGTTTTCTATGCAATTTTTTTTACGAGTAAATTTGGAGATGTCTTATGTATTTAAGATTGAAAAATAGTGTTGTTTAATAGTAAATATTATTAATGTTGATGATACGAAGGTTTAGCTTTATCTTTTTACATCCCACTCAAAACATTTTATACAGTCCCTGAAACGTTCTACTTTCCCACCTGAACGCTGAACGAACGCTGAACGAACGCAGAGAAAACAAAGAGTGAACGATATGCGAAGCTGAGTGCAACTTGGTGACGCAGAACGCGAACGGAGTGCCAACGCGAGGGCAAATGGAAGATGAACGAACGGTGAACGGAAGATGAACAATTTATTCGGAAAACCTCCGATCTTCTCCTTGAATTTAGATTATTCTATTATTCTATGAATTTAATTTCAGGTCTTTTAATATAAATAAACAATAAATAAATATTAGAGTAAATAAAACATTTTTTTCTGTACATACACGTAAATGTATCTATATTTTAAATCGATATCTTATAACACGATTTTAATTGCCGTAAAACTTGTGTATTTATTATCGAACGAGTGTAGATAAATTAAGAATTAATCTATTTATATAGTAAATACGCTTATTTTTTCACAAATAAAATGATGTGGACTTCTGAGGATAAACTACTACTTATAGAATGAATTAATTACATTGCACGCGGTTTAAACAACAACCAGACTTGTATTTCCGTGTCAAGACGATTCTAAGTAATATGAGAAATATCTAAGAAATATGTATCTCAAAGATTCCAATAAATTTTGGGCAAAATTTCTGTATTTTAAAAATATTACACTAAAATTATCGGTATATTGATATCGCTGATTTAGAGGTACGGAGCACGACAAAAAATTTGAAGCAAAAGCATGCGGAATCCAAAATTTAACTCATTTATTTTTTATAATTCGCAATATTTTTCGACAATTTTCTGAAATGTATTTTAAAATTGATCTATTATTATGTATTTGGATTTCTGGCGTGATATTTGAAGTACTAAAAGAAATACAGGGATTTTTCTCTGATGCGATCCCCGTGAAAACAACTGTGAAAATGACGTCTCGTGAATTGACGGCGCACCACACTTTAGTTAAATTATGTGTAATGCTCGAGATATCGCCAAAATAGATCCAAAATATGCAGAATAAAACATGTAGTAAACTAGGGTATTCGTGACATTCGTCCACAAATAGTAAATAGGAATTTTATACCATTAGACCTCTGTAAAATGGCCATACAGGAGGACGGGAAGAAGATTATCGACGAAAACTTTATCTGGACTGTAAAGAACGTGATTGAGAGTCACCAATATCACACTATATCTCATAGATACCTGCAGTTTTTGGTTTTAAAACAATAAAAGAATATTCTTTATTTGTTTAATAGATTTAAAGCTTGACAAAAAATGGTGTTTCGATGTTGAGTAGATAAGATGACTCAAACTGTACAGGTACCCTTGGGAAAATGTTGAGGAAATGAAAGCTCAATCACATATTTTTTATAATATCTGTGACGTCGAAGATTTTGCTGCTCCGTGACTAAATGATATGTCCTGAAAAATCACTCAAAATTGATACCGATTTACAACATTTTGATATAAAATTTTGTATACCATATAAATAAAGATTCTTTTATATTATGTGCAACATTTTGCCCGATTATGTCGTCAAATATTTTTCCTGTGCAGCAAGTCCGCGTAATTTTTGAACGGCCCTCGTATACCAAGCAGTTAAGGTAATCAATTTTATTTTAGATTAACAAATCCATTGAAAGTTATCCTTGGCTTTTATTTTCCATCATCGAGTTCAAGCGGTTCACAAGAAGTCCACATCCTACTAGCGTGTTTGTCATGTCAATCAAAATAATTCGACACAGTAGAGGTGTGGATATCACGTTTCACCACACATGCCGAAGGCAAAGAGTCAGTATTTCAAAGAAGTTTCAATATTTATCCCTATCATTTCTAGATTTGATTTTTGTATTTCTGCAGAAAAAATAAAGAAAGGGAATATATACTAGAAAGGATTAAGTTTTAAATTGAATTTGAAACATCTTCCCTGCCAATTTAAAATACTATACTGTTTGCACAAGTGTATTCTGAAAAACTATTGTTTAATGACTGTTTGATGTTGATTTTAAGACTGATTTTCGTGTGTTACAATACACATCGAATATGAATTAAATATAATGAGAATACCCACAGAGAATTTCATTTCGGGAGAAAAGGCACCGGGGAGGGGGGGGGAGTAATTATACTGAATGGCAAACATGTATTTAAATATGTTTAGGTACGGTAAAGGAAGGAATTTTCCTTCTAAAGTAATGGACTATTTCAAACCGTTGGTCTTTTCAAATTTTAAATCACACCATCAATTTAATTTAATTAACTGCATATTTGCAGTACTGTTCATAATTTTCAGACCTACATGTATTTAAAATACATGTTACTGTATAACTATTTTTGTGTATTCTTTTCTTATACAAAGAATATTTCATGCTGTAGATCTTTATAATGTATGACTGTTCAAAATTTCAAAGGATTATGACGTAAAACAAGAAAGATATTGAGAATTTAGTTTCAGCCAATCAGAGCGAAGCACAAGTGCATGCGCGTCAGATCTTGCTATTTTGACCCCGCCATCTTGACGATACTACTAATATATCCATACATTGTGAGTTTCAAAACATTCCATCAAGAAATATATAAGTTAAGGCTTCATTCATTATATTGGTTATTTCACATGTTGCACGTGCTCGCTCTTGCCAGCACACGTGCATGTACGTGCTTTCATAAACATTCTTATAAATCATGCTGTAGACCTTCATAATATGTGACTAAGTTCAAAATTTCAAATGATTGTGACGTAAAACAAAATAGATATTGAGGCTTTAGTTTCACCCAATCCGAGCGAAGCGCACATGCATGCGCGTGAGATCTTGCTATAAAGACCATGTCATCTTGTTTATACTACTAATATATCCTTACATTATGAGTTTCAAAACATTTCATGAAAAAAATTGAAAAGTTACGGCAATATACATTTTATTGGTCATTTTAAGTGTTGCAAGTGCTCGCTCTTGCAAGCACGTGCGCGCAAAATGATCTTCGTTCGGCAACTCTACATAACATGCCCACTAACCCTAAAAAGGTTTCAACTAAGTCGGATGTACAGTTTACAAGATCACTCGAGGACAATATTTTCCCAGGAAGAAGAAAAATAATAATAACTAGATGCGTTCTTGTTGCTAGGGCAACAAGCAGGTCTTCCGCCCGACTTTTCGTTAGAAATCTCTGCTCCGTCAGACCATGAAGTAAATTTCAGAATGTGTTTTTTATCGTTTTCTTTCATTGACAGCAGTCTCTCAACATAGATCGTGATTATTACAGTTATTCCACAAAATATCTCAAAATATAGCTTTTAAAAATCGACAAAATATTCCATACACTATAAAAAAGAAAGAAAAGTCATATGCAACTGAAAAAAGACAGAAACAAAGAAAAAAATTTTGCAACGCCCCCAGCGGGATTTGAACCCCCGACAGTGAGACGAGGTTTGGATCGATTATATCTGTGCAACAAATGCACGCATGAGAATGTTGAAAACATATTTAGAGTTCTTAAAAGATACTCTTTAAACCCTGTGATTTCCAAAGAAAAATAGTGAAAAACAAAAAAGTTGAAAATTTAGACTATTATAATTCACTTCCGTTTGCGACCGGAAGTCAGAACGACGAAAAATGAAGGTCGATCAACACATCTACATTCAATGTTTCAGTTTTATATCTGTTACTGTTCTCGAGAATTTTTTGCGACGAAATTCCTTTTAAAAAATACAAATTTCCCCCCAAAATGCGAACAGAAGTAAATTTCGAAAAAGTAAAGGAAAACCCTGGAGATATTAACATGATGCATCATCCCTAAAAAATCGTTCAAATTGAGTCACGCACAGCGGAGATATGACCTGTGCTATGGAAAGTGGAATAATAATAATAACTAGACCTGAGCTCGTTGCAAAGCAACGAGTTGGTCTTCCGTCCGGTTTTGACCGGAAGTGCCGGAAGTGACGGAACAAAAGAAAGCAATGAGATAAGAAGTCTCCAGTGACTTTATAATTTCAATTTTGCATGAAAACCTTAAAAATAAGCCATTTTTGCTACTTCCGGTTTGACCGGAAGTGACGACGACGGACGGAAAAATACTTTCTATGCTCCCAGAGACATATGTGACGCAAAAACTTGTCGAGAACGGCAAAAAAACGTGTTTTATGACTACTTCCGGTTTGGCCGAAAGTGACGACGCCGGACGTATTTTGACTCCTTCAGTAAATTGAACTTGACATTATAAACAACTTTGCTTCTTTGATGTATTAAAAATTCTCATTGCTTTTTGAGATATAAAAGAAAAACGTTCAACCCCCCTAGGCCCTTAATTTTAGAGGCCAGCCCTTTTTTCGAGATATCATTTGAAAGATCTTGGAATTCTACACTTCTTTTGTTCTATATGTTTTAACAAATTATTTCCAGGTAAAAAGATATCGTAGAAAAGGTGTCAAAAATTTTGAAATTTGCGAAAGAACAATGTTTTGGCCATAGCCAGCACCGACGTGCGGCACTTCCCAAAAAATGAAATCATTTTCCCATATCTACAGACTTAAGAAAATTTCACGTTTCTATCTATAGCCATTTCTGAGAACGTTCGCGGACAACCTGACCCTTCAAAAATCGCAAAATCGACACTATCTCCAAACCGGAAGTGACGTCATCAAATCGAAAAAAAATGCATAAGGTTCAAGTAATGTAACATAAGTCCTGAAAGTT